TGTCCACCGAGTAGCGCGGCACGCTTTCACGGGCGAGGTTTTTTCAGAATGCCAACTCTGTGCCTGGTGGTTCGAGGCAAACCTATTGATAACATCCAAGGGTAAAGTTCCACAGCTGGAGAGGGAATTAACGAACAAAGTTGCCGGCGAAAGTGGATTGTCATCCGACAGACAAGACAATTTGCCAGGAAAGGAGAAAAGGAAGTCGTTCAACCGTGTCGTCATTCATCGTTTCTCGACCGAGCGAGCTCTGACACTCGACGTTGAAAAAGTTGGCAACCTCCTTAAATTTCCCATCCGTGGCATTCTTCGTCCCAGTGTCTTTCTTTCTCCCCTCTTGCTCCCTTTTATCGCGATATTTATGACTTCGTTTACCTGCCACTGCTGCACACGCTTTGGAAAAGGCAGGCCGCGCTTTAATTAGCAGAAATTAGAGCGGAGAAGAATCCGCAAGCAAAGGAAGAAGAAGAAACGGGAGAAGAAGGGCAACACACAGTGTTTCTTATTCGGAAGCTCCGGCCAGGCGATTCATCCTCGCAGGAAGCTCGAAAGCTTTCGTACTACTTTCCGAGCTCTTGGCTCTCGGTTAATCACGAACAACAAAACGTTGACACGGCTTAACGAACGGAACTATCGCTTCCAACTATACTAACTACGAGCGGCGAGTGCCATGGTTTCACCGCTAATTATTTCGTTCCTTTGAAATTCGCCTCAGACCGGTAATCTTCCAGTTACCGCATGTTAAACTCTTCCTTTATATTTTTCGTTTATTTACTGTAAGCTCCTCTCTTAGTTTCTACTTTGAGGAGATCTAGTTTTCTGTATTACACGAGACTCCGAATGGATCTCTTGACCGAGGGGTCTGGGACCAGAACCAGAACCTAAAATTTCAGCTACGATCGGATCGGTTCCTGGGTAATCTTCCAGCTGGATGTTTACTTGCATGAAACAAGGATGACGTTGGATTTCTGATAATCTACCGACACTTGCTCAAAACGCTATTGCCAAAGTTATAAGCTCCTCATCTTCGCGATACTTACGACGATCCTTTCTCCCACCGTGACGCTCTCGTCCCCTTGTACCGTACAATCGTTTAATCAATTGACAAAATTAGGTACGCGATCGTTCCGATATCACGATTCACCATACCGGGGAAGGTAGGGCGATTATCTTCGTGTTTGATTAAATTATTCGCCGGTATCGATTAGCAGTAAATTCCATGCAACTCGTTTAGTTCGCGTTCGCTGAGAGGGAGTATCGAGAACACGGAACGATACGACGGGGCAGACGGTGTAGCACGTAAAACGTCACCGGGCTTTTAGGTGAACACAAGTTGCACCCGATGGAAGGACGTTTGACCCGGCACAGCCAAACCACAGCAGCTCCGTCAGCCTAACACGGCGGTTGGTGCACGTGCACGTTACCCGTGGGCTAATGTCTACGCCACCTGGGACATCGTGACATTCGGTTCTGCCTCTCTCGGTGTCCAGACGCCACGGGCTCACGGTTCTTCCCGGCGGACCGAGCCTGATCTATGGCATCGACTGGTTTTAATCCATCTAGTTTTACGATGACAGAGAGTCCGCCAGGACTGCCGCAACTTGGTCAACTCAGCCCACGGAATTATCCCACGTAGCCGGAACTAGGCTGTGCCGCATTAAACTTTTAACCTCGGCCGTGTTACGTGTTTCGAAAACTTTAAACAGTTAAAGGGAAGACACCGGTCTTCTCCTTGTCCCGCGCCGCCGGTATGCGCGGAATATCAATTTGCAACAACTTTCCCTTTGTCTTTTGCGAAATTAAACAGCACGGCGGAGAACCCAGGCGGCCGACACGGGATTCTGTTTAATCTAGCCTGAAAACAGCCAACCAGGAGAGCGGCCACGCATCTTTAGCATCCGGTGAATATTTCATGGATATGCCATGTGCGCGCATAATTTTCACGTCGCCGCCACTGCATACCGCCCGGCCCCGCCCCTTGATTATCCCCACTTTTAGTCATTGCACCACTGACAGCCAGCCACGTTGCAGTAGCGGCGTAGCACTGGCGCCCCGGAGTTGATGAATCCATATAATATTTAAGAAGCAGCCAACCGGAGAAAAAAAAACGACTTTCCGCCCGGTGCTTTGTCACACCGCACTGTACCACTTGAAAATTCTGTCTGGTTTTCCCCGTCGTGCCGCTCGAATCAGGACACTTCTTCTTTTATCGCGATACGCCGCGTGATGCTCGCATAACGAGCGCGTAATCGCATTACCGCATCCGGAGAAAAAGTGAAAGACAACGTTGTTCGAGAAGATCTCGAGCTTTGACCGCAGATTTCAATTTGCACGTTTCATAAAATCAGTCTCGCGATTGTAACATTTTTCATTATTAATGCTCGATATTTATCGTGGATAATATCAAAATTATAATTTGAACAAAATTATAATTATTACTAAATAAAATAAAATTATATCAAACTTTTAAACTGTACGTGTATTTTTTTTTTTATAAAAGTCTAGAGATCGTTTACTGCACAAAGTACACTTTTTGAAATAAATACAGTTCGCATCGATGATGTTACATTGTAGATTTGGGTTGGGCGATCGTGATTTCTTAGATTCGTTATCGATGGCGAGAACAAGCAGTCGTTGTGAAAATATCCCGACACACGCCTCGTTTGTTCCCTGTTTGCACGAACGTATCCGGGAAAATGCTGCGCACGCCGGCAACAGTCACGTTCGTGCAAACACGCAACTGCATTATTAATAATACGGTCTGAGCGAGCGAGCGAGCGAGCGAGAGGAAGAGCGTAATAGTTGTTCGTAGTCCATTGCATTCGGTCACACATGACATACTTACCTGGAATTTGATCCCACGTAATTTCCAACCAGCGACTATCCAATCTCAAACTTAAATTCCAAAAGTCTCTCCGCTCCGCTTACTTTACAACCGAATATAATACCGATGATAATAACCGCCTTGATAGATCCAGAACTTGAATCGCAAGGACGATGAACCGAAATTGAAAACATTATCGCGGAATTATTCGAGACGCACCTTGCCTGTCACATATTTTATGCGGTGAACATCCTGGATTTCTCGAGTATAGTGGGATCTGTGAAATTGATGAGAAAACACCCGCGGTGATTCCGTTTCGAAGTAAAAGCAAGCCGATTCCCAGTCGTTAATAGAATAACATTGATATTAAACTTTTATTCGAATCGTTCCTATCGAAAGTTATTTGCAGATGTAATGGAATAGAAACGAAGCAAGAGAGAGAGAGAGAGAGAGAGAGAGAGAGAGAGGGCAGGAGGGAAGATGGGATAGGTTGGAATTCGCGTGAAACGGTAATGAGTAAAATTGCGCGAACGGCTAATTGCATTCCTAATAATACGTTGGTAAGGGTGGGCTTATGTAGTTTATCGTACTTTATTACTCAACCAACTGCAACCGCTGGGAATTTTCCTGCTGGTCCCGCGTAATTTGCACGTTGTCGTCAAGTGTAACGACAGAACTTTATCACAAAGTCGATAAAGACATAACACGCTGGATATACACTGCGGACATCACGCTCGCACGTTTAACGACTTCCCTCGGAATCGCGGTGGCGCCCGCTCTTTTCAGTAAGAGCTCGTTGCGATTCACAATTTCACAAGTGAAATTAAAATTTCAACGAAATTTCGATTCGCGATTTCTACCGCGTTGCAACGCGACCGTGTAATTCTATCCATTTTTTTTACGTTAAAAATCGGCTGTCGCCGATAAATAAAAGAACGGGCGAGGAACTCGCACGAATCACATTCCGGCATTCGTTTCGGGAAAAACGAATGATGTATGAGCGCGGAGAATCGCAATCATCGATGAACGAGCTTTACGAGCCAGGCACGATCGCAATTTTTCTTTCTTTCTTTTTTTTTGCTCTCTTCTCTTTTTTTTTTTGGAGTATTTTACCGAAAATTCGATCAAATTCATACTCGATTTCGTCTCTTTTCCGGTGCTTCTCGTTCGTTGCGGGTAATCGGTCCGCGATTGTCTTCGTCGGAACGAGGATAGCTTGTGGCGCTATCGCATATAACGGGCACCGTGAATAAAGAATAACGCAAACAGCGTGTGAAATTTTCGTCAAACGAAATTTTTAAAAAATTTAAAAAAAAAAAAGAAGAGAAGAACCGGGATGAAAAATCTTGATGGAAATTTATACGGGCGGCTTAAATCAACAGGCGCGAGTCCGCGCGAGAACTAGGTCTGGTAACAAACATGTTAGAAATTAATCGTCTCGTATCGCGGAGACGTATCGGGTGAGGGAATTAATTCGCATTAATTTTTCCAGCGTCACCGACGTTTCACTTATACCCAGTGTTCTCTCTCTCTCTTTTCGATAACTCTGTGACGATCTCGTGTCAACCACGTGTATCTGCAAAATGCATGTTCGTTAACGTTCGCAACGAGATCACACGTTCGTTGGAATATTCATCGACACCTAATTTTTTTTTTTTAATCCGCGATTTATATCGAGGCGATACGCGAGATGTTCAAAGTTGCGTTCAGTTAATCAACAGTGATCGCGGAACGAATTGACGTGTTTGAAACGATCGCGTAATTTTCTAGCGACGCGATGCGCCTCCTGCACTCCAAGTGTATACATATTATATAATATATATACGGCGGACAAAGTGAAACACAATGATGTGGTAAAATTCAGTGACAGAAATATATATATATGTATATATGTATTTGCGACGATCTTTGTTTTATTCGACAGTCACGTAACGAGGGAGGGAACGACGTGGCCATGCAAACGAGTAATTACCGCAATACTAATAATACGTCGGCGAGAATGGATTTACGTGTTCCATTGCATTAGGGAAATTACCGGAAATGCCGCCGCGGGCTTCGTTGTTTGACGTGTAAAATCAATGACGAACGGAGCAACAAAAGCAACGGAACGTTGCCGCCGCTTCCGTTACTGTCCGCCGACATTATTTTCCTCTGCTTTCTCTTTCGTTTAAATTGATTACACGTACGCGCGCGCGGCGAAGCAGGCTTTCTCCACTACGTCCTGGCTACGTCCGTGGCCAGGTTTTAACGTCACGTTCGACTCGCCGGGTTTAATCACCGGAAATCGAACATCTGCCTGCCCGCTTCCAGTTTTAACGTTTATCAGTAGAATCGACTTGGAAGTTGATTGTTTGGACTTCTGATTGCGCGAACACGGGGAGGACCGACGCAATCCGCGTCGTCGGGACCTGTTCCTTTCAACCGGTGGAAATGCAAGCAACTTTGCCTCTGACGATCGAAACGAGCACCGTCATTTATTCCCTCACTCATTTCGTGGAGTTGTAGTTTTGTAATTTACGCTCGGTAATACTGCCGTTCATTGGTGTTTGGAAATTTTGAAACTCGTCGTAATTTCAAACGTGCTTTCTAGAGCACGTCTTCGTAGTATACGTTTCCAAATTTTACCAACATAGTCACAGTTATCGTGCTCACACGTTGCATCGATGATAAAATTTCAAAGCGTTTACAACACCGACTCGTGGAAATAAATTTTCGCGAGTCAGTGCGTCAATTTTCATCACGGCGATAATTGCTGTTAACAACGTTTACACGTTACAAGCGAGTTTTTCCATCCCGTTTTTTCGACTTCGCAGCGTCGAAAAAGAAAAAAAAAGAAGAAAAAAAAAAGGAAGGAAGGAAGGAAAAACGAGACGATATTTAATCGAAGATGTCATAAACGGTACAACGCAACGGCTCGCAATTCGTTTAATTTGCGCTAATTGGGACGAACAGCGGGGCGCGAACATTCGAAGAACCGCGCTCGAATAAACACAGCGTATTTCGTGAAATTTCCAGCGTTGCCAACGATTTTCGCTAATTGGGAAAATTAAACGGCCAACCAGCACGGCTGAGAGAAGCTGAGACTCGCCTGTGAAGTGCCACGGGACAGACGCGCGAGGCGACACATACGATTTTACTGATCTGAAAACCGAAGAGATTGCACGCTCACCTTTGTAGTGCCGATTGATGCTTATGCTCTGGCCGTCTTCCCTCTTCCACATCAACTTCGGCGTTGGATAGCCGTCCGCTTTGCACGTGAGCGTGATGTTCTGGTTCTCACGGACCGCCACCGTGCTCTCGGTCGACAGCGAGTCCAAAATGTTTGGTGGCACTTGAGAACAGACAGAGAGGAACGCGGGAGAAACCCGGTCCAGGTTAGTCTAATTAAAAAGACTTTACAGCGGGTTTATTAATTGCGCGGTGAGAAACTCTTCTTCGAACTTTCGAAGTTCCGTAAGTACTGTAAGTTTGTTTTATCGATTGAACTGCGTCACGATGAATTCTCATTGAAGCCGCCCGAGAAGAGCTGTTTCCTTCCGGCGGCCAACAATATAGTATACAACAACGGCCTTAAAGGCGTCTTAAGCCGACGAAAGAAGATTAAAACATGCTCACCGACAACTTGAAGGAAGCCGACCTGACTCATCATCGGGTTCGTGTTCAGCTGGCACATATAGTAGCCCCGGTCGTCCTGTTGTACGTTGTTGATGTGCAGCAGCCAGGTCTTCTGGTTGTCGTGGGAAACCGAGAACCTCGGTATCTTCACCACCACGTGCTTGTGGATGGTCAAGAGCATTTGACGTCCCACGTGAATCCACGCCACCTGCGAATTAAACCAGACTCGTTTTCACGACGTTCTCGGACCTGCTCTCGGGGCGGAGGATTCTCAAAAAATTTCAACAACTGAAATCTTATATCTTCTCCTTATATGTATATATATTTATATACAATATATATATTAAAAAAAATAACTAAACTAATATAAAATAACGCGAGTGGTGAAAATTTGATCGACGTGATCGGCAAACAACGTTTTACAACTATATTAACACTATGGCGTCCGGTAATGGTGGTGCCGTATACAAAGTCGTCGAACAAAAACGTCAGTGACATGTCGTTTGTATTGTCTGTGAGGGAATAATTAGTTACACTACAATCAGCAGAGTTTCTAATTTTTTAATAACAAGTGAATTTGAGTCCTTCTTCGACGAACTTTAACTAAGTTGCCAAGTGACGGGATCACAGAAGAATTGGACACAAACTGGTCAAATTTTCATTCATCGAATAATAATAATGAATTGAAAAGAGTCTCCGGGATCGAACATGACGCACGAGACGTACAAAAGAAAGATTTCGCAAATTTAGTTATTGGAAACGAACTAGATACTATAGACAAAATACCAATAGTATTGTGCGATATAAATATAAGTTTTTAATTATTTAATCAGGTTTAAATTAATATTTTCATATTTTAACAAGATAGTGTATTGTAATATTTACGATCTCCCGAGAAACTATCTAAACTAGACAAAAGAAACGTCAAAGTGTTCAGAAAGCAGTGAACCAAATGTACCCATCGTTACGGATAAATATCAAACGTCAAATTGAAAAAAATGCGCAAATCAATTTCGGCTATCTCGAAATTTTACTCGGACAGCAATACACCCTGAAATAGGAAACGTACTGTTTGGACCATTTTCTACAATTCTAACTGTTAGAATTATTCTACGCGAGGTACAGACAATCAGTGTGACAATGTGACGATTACAGATCAGTGTAACTGTCAGTGACAGTGACAGTTGCATCGTTGCAGACGTTACATTACGTCACAAAATTATACAGTCCACTCATCACGATCTCCGGCCCTATCGGAATCGTTCCATTCGCCACACTTCACCCGCACGATCCGCTTCAAAATTCAAACGTTTCGAACCGAATCCATATGTGGAGGTGAGGAAGTCTCATTTTTTGTAATTTTTTTCCAAGAGCCAGGCAATTGTCGTTGTTCGTGCGATTTATCACAGAAAAGGCCAAGCTTTGGTTAGCGTGCAGGTATAGTGAGAATTTAATATCCTTTTGTTATCGTCGTATTTGGACCTGCTCAATTTTAATTCCTAAATTAATGAACTTTAACCATTTATTTTGAACCAATCGGTTCAAAAATTCATGTTTGCAAAGAAAGTCGGTAGTACAATAAAATTCATATTGAAGGGAAACCAAAGGAAGAGACACAAAGGATCCTCGGGCCATTTAGGACTTGCGAAATCCCTAGAAGGAATAAGAGTGTTATCTGAAGATTATAAATGACGCTCGGAAGTAAAAGAGGCTTCTATGCGAGCTATCGAACGAGTAGGACGAGCTGCAGCGTTTTCGAATAAACGTCGAATTGTACAACTTTGTATTTCTTACACGTTCTTGCTTGAACCACCGAACCTACAACACGTACCAGTTTCCAAAAGGATGATCAATATTCAATTTGATGGCGAAGCTTGTCTTTTAAATTTCAGCTTGTTAATGGGCTCTGCGGGCCAACGAATGCTCCACAAGTGGCTGAGCAGAATGCGGGGGAGGAGGATGACGTGCAGGAAGGAGAAATAGCAGAAAGGAGGAAGAAGATGGCCGAAGTGCGGCGCAACGACACGCTGCGCAACCGAATCTGCATCAGAAATGCTACGAACAAACATTATTACGACCGTATTTTACGCTCGGCTTGGCTAACGTCCCCCCTAACTAAGCTCATTCCGTGACAAAGCTTATGCACTTTCGAGGATTTCTGGGTTGAACTGGCCGCCCCTGCCGGCTCTCTCACTCGGGCCCAGCTCCCTCCTATCGCGCCACTTTTTCCTTTCTCCTTTCCGTTTTCTTGCCAACGCTGCTGCTCAACGCTCGAGAACCAGCTCGGTTCCGCGCGGAAGCGCCACTCCTCTCAGTTTTTGCTTCTTCGCTTCCGTGACGTTTCTCCTCGATATAGCTTCCTGCTCTTAGTATCTTTGGACGAAGGTTGGCAGAGCTTCCAACGACCAATCGACTATTTATTCGTCGGCGATTTACCACGTGAATCGACGGAGGCTCGTCGAGGCTCCGGTTCATTGGAAATTTGCTCGCACTGATTCCTCGACAGATCGATTTCATGTTTCATTCTGTATTTGCTCGCGCAAAATACGTTTGAAAACTGGGCGATTCAATGTCAAGGGTCAAGGTAGTCTTCTCAGTTTTGAGCAACGAGACAGAGTCTAACAGAGTCAGAGTTTCACGCTGAAAAAAGGGAAACTGCTCGAACGTTAGACGTTAACCAAGTTGTTCGGATTATTTTCTTTCGTTTTTTCCTACTCGACCTCGCAGTCACGTAACAAGCAAGGGGGATTAAGCGGCTCGCCGGAACGCAGATCGCTCGGTAATTCAAACTCGCGGAACGGGATTCGAAACTTTGCTAATTGTTTCTGGAAAGAATGCTTCAACGGAATCGTCTCTTTGCTCGCGCCAGCGAGAAGAACTAGAGTAGACTCTGGTTAATCAGAGTTATTTAAAATCGACTGGCGAGCCGTCGCTTCGTTCGAAAATTTCCAAAATACAAAGGGTGGATTTTGATGATTAAATCACCGAGTTAAAGCCGAGCCGAAGTCGAGCCGGAGTGACCAGGCTTGTCGATTTAATTTGTCAAAAGCATCGGAAGTACGTCCGGAGGAACGTCGCGTCGAGGAAGATTAAAGCGTGGTTGAGTAATCCGTTAATCCTTCAGTTACGTCATTCCTTAGACTCGAGCTTGCCTCGAGGCACTTCTGTCACTTCTACGCGCAATTTCTTCCGTTTGTATCGCGTCAGTTACTAACGAATCCGTCTTGTTCCCAATTTTTCCAAACGTCGTCCATGTACCATTCAACGCGGAATATCAGTGATTCGAAACGAGATTATCAGAGGATTATCGCCGCTACGGGGCGAAGCGATGACCGTTGTGAAACTTCGACTGGTCGATGGATTGTGAAAAGGTGAATGGCGTTCGATCAAGAGAGAGAAAGAGAGAAAAAAGTTGGCTCTCTGATGCGCAAAGGTAGCTGCCGGCGTTATATTGGCCTTTAAACGGTCTCGAGGTAAAGCTCGCGCCGCTTGCGGCCCCGATTGAAATCCCTGGCACTGGTTCAAAGTCAGACTCAACTGCTGCCACGATGCCTGGGAAACTGACGCTTTATATCGCGAGGGGGAAAGCGTTATTTCGATAGCGACGCGTTTTTGTCACGGCCAACTTGTTTAAGAAACTTTGATCGATTTTTAGCCCTCAACCCCTCCGCTTTATGTTAGCCATTTGCCTTTGTGCGGTGGCTTCTTGGTGAACACCAACTTTTGGTTTTTTCCTCCCTTGGATATTAAGTTTATCGAATTATGTAAAATTCGACAAGAACTTTTAGAAATTCCTCGGTGTTTTCAGACCGAGCAGTTCGATAGAAATTGTGCAGGCTTTGATCAATTTGATGCTTTTCCTCGACAACTGGCCAACGGTGGATTTGTTTATTTGATTATTCAGAATGGATCATTGTTAAATGTTATCATCGTTTACCTCTTGGCTACTGTTGGCGTTTACAAGTGCTTACTTTACGTTGCTCGAATCAAATTCACCTATAACTGTAAACAATAATTGCAGCGAACCTCACTTGGCTGAAACGTAAGTGAATACTGATTCAACAATTGTATCTTCCGTTAGTCATACATTATATAAACGTGATTAGTTTACAGTTATTTCATTTAATGAGAATCTTAAAATGAAAAGCTGTGGTAATGAATTAATCAAAAATGAAATTGTAAAATGTAATGAATTAATAAAAAAGAAATGTGTAGTGGAAGAAGCGAGACGTATTACGAATGCAAGAAATGTGACGTACATATGTATTGATCCATTCGAATTGTACCACTTTACTTGGATTAATTATTAAAATAAAGCTTAAAGTTACTGTTAAATTATGTGCGCCAACAGTTCAATACAGAATACAATAGACTAGAGAATACGAATAAATAATATCGCTTTGATATGCAGTGCACTTTAGTGTTTTAATTATTTCTATATACCGTCTGAGAAATATACGCTGACGAAAAATTTCGCCGTTCTCAGTGTAAGTCGCTATCGATTGAATATCTGTCGTATGCTACGTGCGGTACTTATCAAAGTAACTGCCGTAGCCGCGAGGGGTTAAATTGATCAGATTGATTCAGATTGTTTCCAGTCCGCGTTTACTTTTTTTTTTTTTTTTTTTTTTTTTTGAATCGAAAATAATTTCCAGAGACTCCTTTCTTTTGTGGCCGGGTGTTTCCAGCGGCGGCTATCCCGCGAGCAGGCTCCGACACTCCGCTCTTGAACAGAAATCAACGGTGCAGACTGTTGGCGCGAGTTCCTATCTATCGACAGTCACGCGGCTGATTCAGTGCAATATAGATCGACGCGTCCATTGGGCTGGCCCGATCACTTTTGGGCTCCTGTGCCGGCGGCTGTCAACCAAATCGAGTTTTTTCTTTTTTTTTTTTTTGTACTCCGAAATGACCGGCACCGGTATGAAACCGATAAAAGGTGACGGGAAAAGGAATAAACGCAACTCGTTAAAGCGAAAGAGAAAGAGAGAGAGAGAGAGAGAGAGAGAGAGAGAGAGAGAGAGAGAGAAGGAGGAAGGGAAACACGCTGCAAAAACAGAGGGGAAATAATTCTTTTCAATTTAGCGAGAAATATTTTTTCAAAAACACGTGTCGAGAGCCGTTCGTCAAACTCGATCTAATTTCTCGGCTGCTTAACACTCTTGGCCGACCGCAAACTTGAACGTAATTAACGCGATTAAAGACGCG